TTATTTTCACTGCCTTTTATGTCCTAGGAAACATTTACCTACCTCCAAGTCGCAAAGATATTATTTAAAAAAATTTTTTTTTAGAAACAGGGTCTTGCTATATGACCCAGGCTGCTCTCGGACTCCTGGCCTCAAGCGATCCTCCTACCTCAGCCTTCTGAATAGCTGGGATTATAAGCACAAGTCACCATGACCAACTGAAGTTTTTTAATATAAAAAATGTACTATAGAGAGAGAGGTAAGAATTTTGGTTGCCACGTTACTGCAGATCCCTGAGAATTTAGTGATACGTGGTGGCAATTAAGATTAGATTCTCTTTTCCTGAATTTCCAGCCCTGGTTTGTTACAACCTTATTGAGGTGACCGTGCTTTTCAGTCACAGTGAAGAAATTGAAACTTATGTACAGCTGATCTTTATTATTTGTGGATTTCATATTCATGAATTTGCCTACTTGCTAAAATTTATTTGTAACCCCAAAATCAATATTTGCAGTAATTTTGAAATCATTCATGGACAGAAGTTTGGTTCACCTGATATACATGTTCCTAACAGAGGTCAAACACGGTGGCACTCTGCCTTCTTGTTTCAGCTCTCATATTGTAAACAATTATCCTTTTTGCAATCTATTTAGTGCCATGTTTTTCTCATTTCTGTGCTTTTTTTTGGTGATTCTACTGTTTAAAATGACCTCTAAGTATCCTTCTGAAATGTTATATAATGTTCCTAAGCTCAAGAAGGCTGTGATGTACCTTAAGGAAAAAATAATGGTGTTGGGTAAGCTTCATTCACGTGCGAGTTATAGTGCCGTTTGCAGAGATTTTAGTGCTGTTGTATCAACAACATATTGTATTGATCTGTTAACAAAAAAATACCAAGGCTTGCAGGAACCTAACCCTGTGTGTGCCTTAGGAGCATTGGTTCACTAATTCAGTGTTTGTGGACTTTGTAAGACATAGCTACCATGAATAATGAGAGTTGACTATATTTGTAACATGTATAATCAAGGAAGCAGAGGTAGAAATGGTTGTGCTGGTTGTATATAGTAAAAAGAAGAAAGGGAATTTGAGAAAAATTTTGGCAGTTACAAATTATCTCTGGAACAGCTTGGCCCTTGCTATGTGTGTTATTGTGTACTGATGTGGATATTTTTCTCATAATGAAATGAAGGAAATTAGTCTCCTTTCCCAACCTTGTCACCTTTTCTGGAAGGTAAGAGACAAATGAGTCCTGTGACTCCCTGTGATATTGTGAAATATATTTGGGCTTCATCCTTGGTTCCTAAAATTCAGCTCTTAACACCATTGGAATCTGCAATTATAAGAGTGTTTTTTGTAAGCCGATGAGATGACTGGTGATTAGTGGCCCTAGAAAGCTCCGGGATGCAGGCTTGTCACCTGACAGACTAAGTCATGATTAGAGTGTTGGAAGCCTTCAGCATCACTCCCCAACCTCTGGGGAGGAAGAAGAGCTGAAGGTTGAGCTGATCAGCATGGCCATTGATTTAATCAATCATGCCTATTTAATAAAGCTTTCATAAAAAACCCAAAAAGGGCCGGTGGCTCACGCCTGTAATCCTAGCACTCTGGGAGGCCAAGGCGGGCGGATTGTTTGAGCTCAGGAGTTCGAGACCAGCCTGAGCAAGAGTGAGACCCCATCTCTACTAAAAAAAATTAGAAAGAAATGATCTGGACAACTAAAAATATATAGAAAAAATTAGCATGGCGTGGTGGCGCATGCCTGTAGTCCCAGCTACTTGGGAGGCTGAGGCAGTAGGATCGCTTGAGCCCAGGAGTTTGAGGTTGCTGTGAGCTAGGCGGATGCCACAGCACTCACTCTAGCCAGGGCAACAGAGTGAGACTATGTCTCAAAAAAAAAAAAAAAAAAAAACCCAAAAAGACTGAGTTTGGAGAGCTTCCCAATAGCTGAACATGTGGAGATTCCCGGAGGGTGGCGTGTCCAGAGAGAGTATGGAATCTCCTCACCCCTTCCCACATAACCTTGTCCTGTGTTTCTCTTCTGTCTGGCTGTTCATCTGTTCTTTGTAATGTCCTTTATCATTAACTGGTAGACAAGTAAAGTGTTGCCCTAAGTTCTATGAGCTGCTTTAGCAAATTAATTAAACTTGAGGATGGGGGCTGGGATCATGGAAACCTAAATTCATAGCCGCATCTGGGGCTTGTGGCTGGCATCGGAAGTAGGAGACAGTTGTGGAAAGGAGCCATCTACCTGTGGGATCTGACACTGTCTCCAGGTAGGTAGGATCAGAGTTAGCGGACACCTAGCTGGTGTCCATTTCAGAACTGGTTGCTTGTGGGGAGAAATCACAAATTTTGGTGACCAGAGGTGATCTTTATTAAGAGCTAGAGTAGAAAAAAAACTCCTTCGGTTTTTTCTGTCACTCCTTTTTCAAGTAAAGGAATCTCCTTTCATGTGCATAATTTACCTTGTTTACTGTGATTCCCTTGATTTCAGAATGTATGTTTGTATCCTTTTTTGCTGTTTTTTGTTTAGAGACAGGATCTCACTCAGTTGCTCAGGGTGGAGTGCAGTGGCTCAATCATAGCTCATTGTAACCTTGAACCCCTGGGCTCAAGTGATCCTCCTGCCTTAGCCTCAAAAGTAGCTGGCGACTCATGCCTCCGTGCCCGACTAATACTTTTCTTTTCTGCTGTGTGTGTGTGTGTGTGTGTGTGTAGATGGGGGGTCTCACTATGTTGTCCAGGCTGGTCTCAACCTCCTGGACTCCAGCAGTCCTCCCGCCTCAGCCTCACAAAGTGCTGGGATACCGGTGTGAGCCCCAGTGCCCAGCTTATCTTTTTTCTAATGTATATTTTACCTAGTTTCTTATTGCTCTTCCGTTGTCAAACTTTCAAACTTGAAATTGCTTTTCAAATATATACAAGAAGTTTGAGAGTACTAGGCCATTCCTCCCAGATCCCAAAATAATTTCCGATAAAGTGGAGGGTAGCTGGGATGTTAGCATATGCTCACGTGTAAACAAAACTGGTGTATTATAAACTGAGGCGAAGCAGTCGTCTGACTTCGGACTAATAAATACTCTCTTTCTTTAGGCAGATTTTTTAGCAAACAGGAAGTTGTGCTTCATAAAATTGCAACTCTATGGTCTTTGGTCTTATTTCCCCAACAATTTATCATAGTTTGGAGCAGTTCCAGAGCCTGAAGTCAGGGAGGTGGGCTACTAAATTGCGGCAGGACACACACCCTTTGACATCTTGATGTCTAGTACTCTAGCCTGTCTCCCCTCAAATGTTGAGGGACTCCTGGCAGAGTTCCGTCCTGGGCCATGCAGAGCTCAGGAAGACTTTTGTCTTCTCAGATGGGAACTAAAGTCAGTTTGTATTGTGCTTCCTTATCCCATAAAGGGGATCTACTTTAACTGTGGGTCTTATATTTTTGTCTCTAGGTCAGATTCACTTTCTTATGAGTGCTTCTCATTTCCAGAATCAGGAAGGGAGATAACTCCTGAATCAGTTTATAGTGCATATACCATTATGATGCCCAAGCTCAAAAGTAT